GGTGTGTTCATTGCAGTCCACTCAGGTGGGCCGTGTGGGGACGGCGGGACCACTTCTCACACAGGGAACCCCCTGCCTTGCCCAAAGTTAAACACTCACTAGGGGTTTCATGTTTCTCGTTTTCTGACTGGAAGCTGGCCCTGTGCACCCCAATCTAAAACTAACACTATTAATTTCAGGTTAAGACATGTCCTCTTTTTTTTTTTTTAATCAGAGTTTATTTAAACTTGAATGCCTCTCCCCTCCACCCAAGAAGTACACCCACCTCCTTTCTTTCCTTAACCTTCACTCACTTCATTAACTACAGAGCAGTACCTGCTTCAAAACTTTTCCACTACTGAATACAGTGGCCACTTTCCACACATCATTGAGTACATGAAATCCACTTAGTGCAAATGATAGGACTGATTTTTAGTGAATTTAAGTCTAAACAGAAATGTCTGGCTTAGTGACTACCATATCCAATGGCATGGCTACAGAAGAAAGTAATCACCGTCAGAGTGTATACACAGATTTCTACCCACAGTCAGTATAGATTCTCACACGTGTGTAATTTATAGATTTTTGCCTCCCATTATGGAAATCCACACTAGACAGGAAGGCAAAGTAATACCAAGTTTCAGAGTTGGGCTGGGGGAACCACCCAATCTTCCCTCCCCCTCCGCTATGAGTGAGCATGTCATTTAATGGCTATAAGGGTTAGTGTCCTCAGCTGCAGAATGGAAACAATAATTGCTATCCACAGAGAGCCAAGTGCCTGCAAAATCCTCAGTTCAGGACAGTGGAGTTATATAAGGACAATTGTTCTATCTGTGCAAGAACAATTAAAATTTGCAAGAGGCTTTATACTTTCAAAAACTTAACACAAGCATTCTCTTTGGGCCCTTGCATTACCCAGAGAGGACCACTCTGCTAGTAGTAATCCTGTTCATTTTTACACTTAGAAAATGATTCCCAGGAAAGTTGCAGAAGTTCAAGGTCAAACAACCCATCAGCATGGTGGGCCCTGTCAAGAGTTCAGGCCAAGTGGAAATAATCCACATGTTGACATCACCAGTCAGGATGAGGACAAACTCAGGCTTCTATTCAGCATTCTGTTGGCCACAGGGCTGGTAGAAACTTTCCTAACCACCCAGGAAGGCAGACTCATGATGCCATCACACAGACTTCAAACACTGAGGCTGTGCTAGATAAAGTAGGACTCAGTACACCCCGGTGCCCCACACCTCCACGTGGTATCCAGATTCAGTCCATTACAACACTTCTAGTAGTAGTGTGAGGGTCTGGGAGGATTGGGGATCCATGCATGAAAAGCAAAGGATGGAACTCATGGAACCCTCAATAAAAGAACAGTCAGAGCCAGCACCTGAGGATGCTGGTAGCACACACCCACTCCCATTCCCAGTGACCCAAATGGCAGCTTTGCCATGCCTTGGTATCCCCCCAGCAGCTAGTCAATACACTTTTGAATGAATACCTGTCCATCAACATAAAAAGAGAAAGTTACGTTCTTACTAAGATGACCTAGAGTACAATCAGTGATATTGATACAATTGATAAAAAGAAAACCTCCAGATTTTGAAACTTTCACCTCTGAGTGCACACACAACAAAGTGATTACTTGGTCTTTCCAAACAGTACTGGCAAACTGATCTCCTCTGAGCCCATCAAGCACGGTGGGGTGGGGAGAATGACATCACTACACCCCAAATTCCCCATTTGGGTCCCACAGGTGTGTGCTTGACTAAAGAAAGGCCGGAGTCGCCTTTAGGAGCCATTTGAATATGTAGCTCAAGTACCTGATAAACTTCAAGTTTTATTTTTTAATTAATCACCCGACTGGGTGGCTTCCCCCCAAAATATGCAGCACCTGAGACAAGAACACCCTTTAAAATAAAAGCGTCATACAAACGTCTTAATAGTTCCATACTAAACAGTCTCCTTTTTTTCTTCTTCTTCTTTTTTTTTTTTTTTTTTTTTAAATTGTGTCTTTTCTAAGAATGAGTTGTAACCTTTTTCTAAGAGCCATTTCCTACCCCCAAGCCACCGGAGCCAGGGACCTTACAGGGCGCTCCCCTCCTCCCCCTCCCCTCCTAGAGTCCCGCCCCCTTCACTTCCAGCATAAACCAGGGACTCACTGGGGCGGCGTGTCAAGAGAGGAAAACATGCAGAAGTCGTGTCAAGCCACACGACAAGGCAAAGCAGAACACTTGCACATGCATGGGGTGGGGGGCGTTCTAGGTTTGCTCCACGACACCACCAACTCAAAAAGAAACACGCCGGACCTTAACTTTGTGGAATTTCCAATGCAGTTGGCTTGGAGAACGCCAGGCCTTGCAAAGAGCGAGCCGGGCACCCCCACCCCCAGCCTGACCGCGCACTTGCAACGCACGTGAAATCCAGGCCCTATCCAGGCCCTATCCCATCGCAGGCGGGCCTCGGGCGACCCAAAGTTGTGATAAGGCGGTTATCACCAACTCCCTAAGGTGCACCCCCACCCACACTCCGAGCTCCCGCACCTGCCTAAGGAAGGTGCCCCTGGGAAGCAGGGAAGGGCTGCCGACGAGAGGGCACCACCCGCTCCCCCAGCCCGGGAGCAACAGGTCTACACCCTTCCCAGGCCGCGCTCGGGAGGCAGACCCTCTCCGGTCCAAGGACGCTCCCTTCCACCCAGATCGCCGCCCATCGGGTCCCCGCGCTGGGACCTGGAGTGGGGGCGGGGAGGGGGCCCCCGACTTCCTTGACAGTTCCTGCGCCTCCAAAACTGAGCAGACGCGGGGCCCGGGCCGCCTCGCCCGCCACTCACTCCTCTGCGCGCCGCCGCGCTTCCACCCGGTTCCGGGAGGGCCGGCAGCGCCCCGGGATGAATGGGGATCCCCTCCCCCACGGGGAATCCCGCCCCGGCCCCCGGCCCCCGGCGGCACCGGGCTGCCCCGCCGTTGCCCAGGAGCCAAAGACAAAGGGGCAACGGGGCAGAAATCCTGCGCTTTCCCAAACTTGCTGGCCACCTCCCCCTCCCAAAACAAAGGCGCACCCCCAGCCTCCGCCCGCGCCCCACGCGCCCGCACTCCCGGGTCGGCCACACCGGGGTATTGTTCAGCCTCCGGGGAGCGCACCGCGCCCCCACCCCGGGCCCGGGCACACTCGGGGACCTGCCCCCCGGGAGCCCCGGGCGCGGGGGGGAGGGTGCGGGCGCCCTGGCGGCGGGCCCAAGCCCCCGGCGGGGCGATCGCCGCGCCCCTCGGCCCGAGAAGTTTGCGCCCCCGCCCCGGACCGCGCCGGCCGCCGGCCCCGCGCACTCACCTCGCCGCCCGCAGCGCAACTTGTGGCCGCGCCGGGCCGCGCTGTTCCTCCCTCGGCCGGCCGTCGCCGAGCCCGGGCCGTGCCGCGGCCGACCAGGGCCCGGCGCCCCGGAGCAGCCGAGCGCCGCCCCCGGGCCGCCCCCGCCCGCCGCCGCCGAGTCCCCGAGAGGGCGCGGGCGCTGGAAAGTTTCGGTGCCGAATGGCGGCCGGAGGGCGCTGCGGCGGCGGCGGCGGCGGGGCGGGGGCGCTGGCGGCTCCTCGCTCCCGAGCGCGGAGAGTGGGGGGGGCTGGGGCGGGAGCGGCGGCGGCGGCGGCGGCAGAGGGCGGGACGGCGGGAGGGACCGGCACGGGCAGTGACCTCCGGGGGGAGCGGCCGCGAGCGCGCCGACCCCGGCCGGGAGGAATGCGGCGGGTCGCCTCCACTCGACCCTACCCCAGGGCCTGGGGGGGCGCACCCCCAGCCCTTTCCCTCCCCCACCGGAGGGGGAGGGGAACCCGCGTCCCAGGCGGCCCCTCCCCTGCACCCTGGGGGGGGGGACGAGTCCCAAACCAGCAGCCCCTCCCCCACGGGCGGTGGGGACTCCAGGCCTGCCCCTCCCCCCACGACTCCCCAGGAGGATCTGCGCCCCCACCTTATCGCTCGATGGGGTGGGGGGGACCTGCACCCCGACAGTTTCTCACCCCAAGCCTTACCACCCCACGCCTAGGGTGGGGAAAACCCAGGCCTCTCTCTTCTTGCTCTGAGCCCTGTCCCTCACCCGTGGGGAGGACAGCAGGACTGGGGGGAACCTGGGCCTAGACCCCACCCAGTGCGAACCGAGCCTTTCTACTACTGTATTAAGAGGCTGGGCACCCGGCCCCCCCCCCCCCACGGTTCCCAGTTTGGGGGACGGGGACCTGGGCCACGCTAGTGTTACCCTCCCCCACCTCCAAAAGAAGCCGCCCAGCTGCCCCAACAGAACCCCCTGCAACCTGCCTGAGGGTCCGTCTGTCCTGAAATGGTTTACCCCCGACGCCCAAAATTGGGGACTCAGAAGGAGCCGGGACCTCTGCAAAATACCTCCCTGGGAGAAAAGCCAGAAATACGTGAGGGAAGTCTCAAGACAACCCGGGTGGGTGCCAGAAGCTAAGGTGGAAGCGTGCGAGGAAGGGGTGATTGGGGGTACCCGAGCCCTGGGATCTCCACGCCCATGCCCCCACCTCCAGGCCTCAGACCTCGGGCATTTGCAAAGTGTTTCGTGTTGCAAGGCTTGTATGGCCCAGCCCTGGTGCGCCAGACTCCCAGCGCTCCTTCCTCCTCTCCACGTTGGGGCCGACTCCCCACCACTCCCGGCCTTAATTCAATTAAAACAAATATCCGCTCCCCCTCCCCAGCACCTTTGGTGTCTGCCTCTTTGAATATTTTTTAAGTAAGTTTGCCCCTCCCTTTGGTATATAATGAGCTTCGTGTTAAGAGCCCAGTACACTCAGCAATTTATGCTATAACCTCACTTGCTCCTTCCTTGAACACTAGACCATTTGTTGTTCTGGTTGTTGGGGGAGGGGGGGACCCGAGATGAGTTTTTAAGGGGCCGGTCCTCCATCAAAAAGGCGGACCTAAAAAATCACCCTGCAAAATACTGCTGTAAAGCGTCAATGATGTAAAACGACTGTTGCTACACCATTATTAGAGCACATCAATAAAAAATACACACTTACACAGTCTCCATAATTGTGAATCAGCAGAATAGATTGTGTCTTATTATGTATCAGTTGCCATTGAAGACCCCCCAAAAGGACTTGGTGGGGCCTTCCCTGGAGCCTGCCCTTCGTTGCTCCCGGGCTCCCTGGGCTTGTGCAGACTGAGGCTGAGGTATGACATGCAATCGAAAAACGAAGGGTGCAATAGACAAACCCGAGCGAGCTCATGATGCAACCCTGTCCCGGTTACACGTGCTTCCCTTCCCCCCACCGCCTGCTGGTGGGAGCGCTGCGTTTTTTCCGCCTGTAGGGTCACATTGTGGCTGATTGATTCTCCTTTCGCCTTGCTCAGTCATTCAGATTTGGAAAGTAAATAACAAGTTGACATCATTACAGCTCTCGGCTTTACGGGGACTCGGCCCTCGGTTACCGCACACTCCTGAGTAGCCGCGCACCACCAAACCACTCCCAGCCTCCCAGCCCTGCTTAGAAAAGCCGAGCCAAACTCCGGTTAAAGAGCCTCTTTGTGTGTTTCTGTGACTTGGCAGATGCCAATCATTTAAAGTTTGGGAAGGTGGTGGAAATCCTCACTCTCCAACCAGGGTCGAGTGTGACCAGGTCTTGCATTCAGCCTTTTGTAACTCACAGCGAGAGACAGTTCAGAATCCATCTTGCCTGTTTGGTAATATACAATAAACCCAAAGGTTATTGGATGTTAAAAGACAAGGGCGGGGTGGCGGTGTCGTGCGGCCCTGGAGCATTTACCTAGTATGTCCAAGGCTCTGGGTTCGAGCCTTGGCACCGGAAAATAAATTTTAACAAGTCAGAGGCTTTTATCAAAGACTCATAGCACCCTCAAGGGACTTTGTAAGTCCTAAAAAAAGGAAAAGAGAACCCCTTACGTTCATCACAAAATCACCAAAATTTTTCTTTCTGAAGCGCTAAATGGATGGTCAGTTAGACCATTTAATTTGAGTGATGTCTTCAAGTGTGCGTGCATAAGGTGGGGAAAAGCAAGGAAATGAAGTAGATTGGGAAGGAGCAGGGTGCACTTGTGGAGAAGTGAGAAGCAAGGATTTCCACATATGCCCACCTGTGTGTGTGTGTGTGTTCTGAACTTTATTTACAGTTGCTATCCTTGGAGGAAGGCAGAATACAAGATTTGCTTGCAAGAAGTGCCACGAACATTCCCCCACCCCATCCCAAACAGAACCCAAAAAATTTAATTACAAGGCAGTGAGAACCCACAATAAACATATGCTTATTTCTTTGACAAAGGATCAAAGGCCACTTGACCTTTTTAACAAATGATGCTGGAACAACTGAACATCCATATAAAAACGAAAGAACTAGAAAGGAAGCAGGGAGGGAGAGAGGGAATCTAGACACAGACCACATAATTTCATAAAAATCAACTCAAAATCGACTGTAGACCTAATGTAGAAGGCAAAGGTGTAAATCTCCCAGAAGACAACATAGAAAAATCTAGATGATCTCAGATTCACAATGAATCTCTAGATAACAACACCAAAAGCTTGATCCATGAAGGAAAATAATTAAAAAATAAGTTGGATCCCATTAAAACTTTGAAAGTCTGCAAAAGGTATTAAGAGAATGAAAAAACATCAACTGGGAGAAAATATTTGCAAAATCCATCTCTGACAAAGAGTTGTGTTCAAAATATGCAAAGAACTCTTTTCCACAGTAAGAAAATCACCCAATTAATGTGCTAAAGTTGGGGCTATCACACTGAAGAGATATGGCAAAGATGCTGAGCACCATGTATCATTAGGGAAATGATAAAATAACCAGATCTCTCTCTCTCTCTCTCTCTCTCTCTCTCTCTCTCTCTCACACACACACACACACACACACACATTTGGCTAAAATACAAAACCTAACAATTCCAAAAGCAGACAGTGAACAGAAAAATAAGAAGTTGTATCATTGCTAATGGAAATGCAAAATTGTACAGTTACTTCAGAAGGCAGTTTGGCAGTTTCTGGCAAAGTTAAACAGTCTTGCCATACAATCAGGTTCCTTACTATTTATCCAACTAAGGTAAATACACATCCACCCAAAACTTGCACAGGAATATTTATAACAGCTTTATACATGGTTATCAAAAACTAAACACAAGTCAGATGCCCTTTAGGAAGTGAGCAGGAAAAGAAACTTGTGGCTCTTCTGTACAATGGAATACTATTCTGTAATTAAAACAAAAACAAAACAAAACAAAAACATTATTAAGCCATGAAAAGCCATGGAGGTACCTCAGCTGTGTATTGCTAAGTGAAAGGAGACAGTCTCCTGCAATATGATCCCAAACACAGGGCATGACATTCTCTAAGGCAATAAAACTCTACAAACAAGGCTGGGACTGCAGCTCGGTGGTAGAGAGCTTGCCTGGCCTGTGTGAGGCTCTGAGTTCCATCATCAGTACTGTAAAATCAAAAACTAGTGGCTGGTGGCCGTGGTGGCACACACCTGTAATCCCAGCAGCTCAGGAGGCTGAGGTGGGAGGATCGGAAATTCAAAGCCAGCCTCAGCAACTTAGTGAGACCCTAAACAACTTAGTGAGACCCGGTCTCTAAATAAAATATAAAAAAGGGCTGAGAATGTGGCTGAGTGACTAAGTGCCCCCCGAGTTCAATCCCTGGTACCCCCCACCCCCCCCAAAAAAAGGGCAAAAACTACTGAAACAATGAGAAGATGAAACAGGTGTTTGGGGACCAGGGGGATGACTAGGGCGAGCACAGAGGGTTTTAGGACAATTTGCTTATTTCATATGATATTTTAATGGTAGATACATGTCATTGCATATTTGTTAAAACTCAAAGAATTGCCAGGTGATATGGCACGCACCTGCAGTCCAAGTACTCAGGAGGCTGAAATCAGAGAATCATTCCAGCCCAACAAGTTCAAGGCCCACGTGGGCAAAATATTAAGACCCCCATCTGGAGGGCAGAGAAGAATAAACTTTAAAACCCCATAGACTGTACAACACAAAGACTAAACCCTAAAATACACTATGGACTGCAGTTAATAAGAATTTATCGATTCTTGTTCAGTAATTGTAAAAAAAAAAAAAAAAGTCCCACCCTAACTTAATGTGAATAATACCAGAAGCTGAAGGTGGGATAATATCAGAACACTGTATTCTCAGTTTCTCTGCAAATCTAAAACTGTTCTTAAAATACTAGGTACAGTGGCGAACACCTATAGTCCAGCTACTTAAGAGGCTGAGACGGGAAGTTTGCTTAAGCCCAGGAATAGAGTCAAGCTTGAGTGATATAGCCAGATCCTGTCTCAAATTAAAAAAAAAAAAAAAGTTTTTAAAATGTAGTATGTGAATTTTTTTTTCAAAAGAAAGAGGTACTAAATGTCTCATGAGCTTTTTTTTTTTTTTTTTTTTAACTGGGAATTGAATCCAGGGGCACTTAACCACTGAGTCACATCCCCAGACCTTTAATTTTTATTTTGAGAAAGGGTCTCACTAAGTTGCTTAGGGCCTCACTATGTTGTTGAAGCTGGCCTCAAACTTGCAATCCTCCTGCCTTAGCCTCTAAGGTTATTTCTTTAGAATGTACCATCATGCCTATTTTTGTTGAACTTTTTTTTTTAAAGATAGAGAGATAATTTTTTAATATTTATTTACTTTTTAGTTCTCGGTGGACACAACATCTTTGTTTGTATGTGGTGCTGAGGATCGAACCCGGGCCGCACCCATGCCAGGCGAGCGCGCTACCGCTTGAGCCACATCCCCAGCCCATTTTTGTTGAACTTAATGTCTAATTCTTCCATGCTCGTCTGATTTTGAAAGACTTCTGACCCTTAGGCCAATATTTGCTTCTGTGACTATCCTGTTCAGAAAGCCCTTCCAAGGACTGACCCTAAACTTCGGGTATCTACTTGCCTCTGTATTAAATTACAACCTCAGTGCTAACCCTTTTTCTTTTCTATTTTACCAACTAGACATCAGTTGCATGTCACAATTTTTAAAAAGAGAAAGAGTCTTTCACCCATGCATCCTGTGATGTACCTGTTTTACCACTCCAAAGGAAGAACAGATAGTCCAAATAGGTCCTCAGGTGCAAACGGAAACACCAAAGCAAAGTCCAAAATGGTTTTAAAAGGTAATGTAATTCACTACCTTTGAGTCCATGATTACCTGCCCTTAGGGAGCTTTTGTTTTAGGAGTCAGCAAACATTGACCCAGATCTCCTGGAAGCAATGCCCCATGCATACCATGGCACAAGTAAATACTTACTTTCTGGCCTGATATAGAAAAAGTTTGCTGCTGAGCACATTGGCTCGTGCCTGTAATCCCAGCTGCTCGGGAGGCTGAGGCAGGAGCATCTCAAGTGTGAGGCCAGACCAGGCAACTTAGATAGACCCTGCCTCAAAAGAATATAAAAAGAACTAGGGTGCAGATCAGCCCAGCTTGCCTGAAGCCCTGGGTTTCCCCCAGTACCAAGGATGGAAGGAAGGAAGGAAGGAAGGAAAAGGGTGCTGATCCTTGTTCTAGGAGAGACTAAATGATTTAATAACCCTCCTGTAACTTGTTAACTTCCTCCTAAGAAAGTGGACAGGAGTGACTGAGGCACTGGGGAGAGCGCAGGATCGGAGGGAACCGCGCCCGTTTCCCATCTGACAAGGTGTCTCTGATTTTCGGAACATTTCAGAACACCCTCACTGAGTGTCTTAGTGACGTATCAAGTGCTTGAAGAGAAATCATCAAGTTCATGTTCATTGTTCAAAGGAGCGGGAGGATGTAGGATCCGAACAGCAGGAGAAGCTGAGTAAGGCCCAGGAAGGCAGGGACTCTCGGAGGTAAGTGGCCACAGTCCTCCTACTGTGGCTGCAACAATTCCACACTCAGTGGCTGTAACAGCAGCAGCTTGTCATCTCACAGGGGTGACGGTCAGAAGTCCCACGGGGTCTCTCTGGATACGATAGATCATTTTATGAGTAACACGTTTGGGCCATGGGTTGCCCAGATATGGGACAGAACAGTCCACAGGGCTGTTTCCAGAAGAGGTCCGCGTTTGAACTGATGGACGCATAAATCCTGTGAAATCCATCAACCCGTTGAGCAACTGGACAGAACTGAGATGAAGGAGGTT